TCGGAGGTATTCTACCTCGGTAACTTTGTTTTCTTCTTCGCTGCAGTGCGTCTCAACACGCAGAGAGAGTGTTTTCACGCAACTGCGTTTGTGGCTGATTGGGTGGTTGCTGTTGTTATTCACTACTTGCATCGTGTTTGTCGCTTTCCTGAATACTTTAGTCTTTAGACCACCATAATCTTTGCGACAGACGAGGACATCGAGAAAGGCCAGCTGGTTGTTCTCTTCTTCCTCCATCGTAAATTGGATGTCCGGGGAGGCGCTTTTGAGACGTTTCTTGGAAAAATAGCGACTCCAGTCGTTGCAGGACCGCCTCGGCTATGAGCCCCGAAATCGGGTAACCCATCCATGTCCTCTTCCCCTGCTCGTAGGTTGTTCCGTCAAAGGTGAAGTACGTCCTGAGACAGAACTTCAGGAGCTGTAGAATTTGCGCATGTCCAGGGCGATTCTCCGTCTCACCGTATTTGTTTCGTAGGAGTAATTCGACGGTCTCGATTGCCAGATCCTGAGGGATAGAAGAAAAAAGAGACGGATGTCGAAACGTCAGGCCAATAAACATAGTGCCCCAGCGATCGGGTCTTTTTCTTCTCAATTGCTTCCTGAGACACGCACGTTCGCTTGTATCGGCAAAGACCTGGTCATTTTTAAACGTATCCTCCGAATGCTCTCTTCAGTTGCCGGTGTTTCGCATGTCCTTTTTAGCCCATACTGTAATTCAGCGACAATTCAAAGCGGTCATGAAATTTGCTGATCGTATCTTAACTGAGGTCGCTCATCCTCTCCCCTATGAACTAGTTACTGTGAAGTCTTCCTGTACTGTGTATCCAAAATTTCGCTATATGTCTTGCCGTACATCGGCATATCAGCCCTTTGTTCTTCCATTCCTAGCGTGCTAGCTCACGTGTGAAGAAATGGAAACTGAGAAGTTTAAAGCCGACCAGTCTCCAAAAGATATGTGGCTATCGTGTAACCCTGAGTATTCAATGACCTTTTAAATTATCTCTTGCTCTTCGTGAATGTAGTCATTTTCTGCTTAAAATTATGGATGTTTCTTTAAAAACAAAACATTCTCTATCTCTGTTCATCAGAGAGAGGGTGTGTGGGTTCGAAGTGCTAGCCTGGCGCCAGTCACCACATTGAGGTATCTTTCCAGACGGACTGAGACCAATCCACTAATTGAAGTTGGTATACTAACCCGGACAGCTCCTTAGATATCTTGAGGTCAACCTACTGTGGATTGAGGCCAGGCTGGGAACCGACTATTTACCTATCATAATGCAGGCAAGCGCTTTGCCCGTAGCAGAATGGATTCACACAGACACAACGCCAGTGCCAACCAATGAAATCAGAG